TTTAAATTATATTATACCAATTGAAAAATAAATTTAATCAAATGTCAACCTAATGTATGTACTTTGTAATCTGTTCAGTTATTTATTTATTTGAACAGTATTGCTCGCTTACTGATCCATTGGCTGAAGTGACAATAGGCCGGCCATATGTAAACAGTACAGTACACAGTACAGTACACAGTACAGTAAGATTTTACGAAGGTGAACAAATTGAGTGCTCTCAGTTTAACGACCCTCACAACGATGGCCTGACATTTCACAAGGACCACTCTATTACACAATGATATTACACAATACGCAAAAAGATAAAGATATGAAGATATGAACATTAATATTGATATATTTGCTAAAAAATGCCAGTAATGCTAGTAACATTCCTAGATTACTTACTAACCATTCTAACTAAGCATAAAATGCTTGTATTAAGAATAGTTCACGACAGTAGCCGTGGTGGATTTACACCATCCACGATAGAGTAAAGAAGTAAGTGCCTCACAGCCTTTTTTATTAATGGTTGCTTTTTTGCAGCTATATTAATGGTTGTTGCACGAAAGTGTCGACTCAATCTGGGTAGGACCAAGCGTTCTAGAATATTAGCATAAAACAGTTGTTTTATGCTTTTTTATATAGGAGAGGGGGCAAACGAGGATACGGCTCACCTGATGATAAGTGACTACCGCCGCCCGTGAACACTGCAACACCATTGGAATTACAGATGCGTTGCCGGCCTTTTAAAAAGGAGTACGCTCTTTTCTTGAAAGTCCCTAAGTCGTATCGCTCTGGAAAAATCTCAGGTAGTAGTCGATTCCACAAGGAAGTTCTGTGAGGAAGAAAACTTCTTTTAAATTGCATGGTGGTCCGCCAGTCATCCAGATGGTATGGATAGTATCGCGAGTTTAGTCGCGATGTGCGAAGGTGACTCGTATAGTGATTGTAGAGAACTGGACGCCTTTTTAGAGGCAACTTGGTGCATCTCCTCCTTCTCTCATATAAATTTAGATAAGAAATATAAATGGCCGTAAATAACTATATACTTCGTGACCGTGACCAGGACGTGACCAAGATTAAAAAATATACTGGATGACCTTCTCTATCGTCTGGTAAAAATACTTTGTAATATGTGAACGGAGTAGAAGACTTTGACACAATACTTTACGAACGGCAATAAATCAATAAATTTAGTAAGCATATTTGACCTTGTCACTTTACAGGGTCACATGCTCAGGGGCAAAGGGAAAAGTAATTGTTTCAAAAAATTTCAAACATTTATTTTCCCCCGTTGGTGTGGAATGCAGCGCGCAAAGCGGCGATGGGGACCGCCATACGTCAAGCACAGCCCCACACGGCGGAAGGTGGAGGACGGAGTGCAGAGTTGGCACGTGGAATGTTAGAGGGGGGCATGAGAGATAAGACGAATGAGTTGATCGAAATAGTGAAAGAAAGAGAATTAGATGTCGTGTGTATATCGGAGACCAAACGGAAAGGCAGTGGTACTGAAGAACTCCCTGGCGGGACGTTAGCTATATGGTCCAGAGTCCCGGAAAGCGTAAACGCCTGCCAGGGAGTGGGGGTGCTGTTGTCGTCCCGGTTGGTCGATCTTGTGACTGAATACAAGGTTGTGAACTCAAGACTTCTCTGGGTTCGCTTTAAACTGGGACTGACGAAGTTATTCCTTTTGGCTGTTTATGCGCCGGTAGCTTCGTCGTCCAGAGCTGAGCTGGAGGAATTTTGGGAGAATGTAAGAGAAGTTCTAGATTTGGTTAAGGGAAACGAAAGAACTGTTGTATGTGGTGATTTGAATGGATGGGTAGGTATCGCTCGACCAGGATAAGAGTCGGTCCTTGGAAAGTTTGGCGATAAAAGGGTTAATGATGCTGGCAAGCTTATACTGGTTGTATGCCAGGAAAAGGGTCTTCTTGTGACAAACACTATGTTTAATCACAGGAAAATCCATATGTACACTAGAGAAAGAAAGAATGAGAAAAGTATGATTGATTTGTTCCTAGTAGATGATCGACTGCGAAAACTGGATACACGAGTGTTCAGGGGTGCTGACCTGAGAACGGATCACTATCTAGTAATTACTAGATTTAGGGGTTTGTTCGCGGGTTGGCGCTACCGGACGGCAGTAACAGAACCACAGTCGGTCTGTCGCATCCGAAGCTGGAAGCTTCAGGAAGCGGATACTAGGGACAAATATCACACGAGGGTAGCCGAAAAGCTTGACACCATCGATGGCAGGAAAGAATGTGTGGAGAGAACATGGCAGAACCTTAGGGATGGAATGGTAAGTGCAGCGGAAGAAGTATGTGGAACGACAAAAAGAGGTAGTAGTAAAAGAAGAGATGCATGGTGGAATGATGAAGTGAGAGAAGCTGTAAAAAAAGAAGAAAAAAGCATGGTTAGACTACTTGGCCTCTAGTAACGATAAGCGTATGAGAGAGAAGATGAAATAAAGATATAAGCTGCAGAAAGTTCATGCGAAAACATTGATTGAGGAAGTACGTGAAAGGTGTAGAATAGAAGCGGACGAGAGGTTGTCGCACAACTTTAAGGAAAACTCCAAACTCTTCTGGAAAGAAGTTGGAAGGTCCCGGAGTGGTGCGACAGCCTTAAGAATGAACAAAGTGCTTTCGGGAACCAATGATCTCCTCTCAGAAAAATCGGACGTCATGCAGCGATGGAGTGAATTTTATAGAGAAATGTATGCGTGTCATGATCTTAGTGAAGGATCCGGGGGTAACGCCATTACTGGCACGCCAGACACGGACCTCGATGACACTGAGGTCATCAGCATGAAAGAGATTGAACGTGCGATTCGAAGTTTGAAATGTGGTAAGGCTGCGGGACTAGACAGAGTTACTGCTGAAATGGTCAAGTACGGTGGGCCTCGCGTCTGGGACAGCTTTCGTCTGCTGTGCAATTTGTGCTGGCGGACGGGAGATGTCCCGGATGATTGGCGATCCGCGGTCATTGTGCCTTTATATAAAGGTATAGGTTCACATTTTGACTGCGGGTGCTATCGGGCGATCAGCTTGACTAGTTTAGCAAGTAAAGTTTACTCGAAGGTTTTGACACGTAGGATGCGAGAGAAATCGGAAAGATTCTTATGGAGGCAAAATGCGGATTTAGACCTGGAAGAGGATGCACGGATCAAATGTTTTCTCTTCGCATGATCACGGAAAAGCTTCTGAGTGTTAACCAGAAGGATTTTCTGTGCTTTTGTGGATCTGGAGAAAGCATTTGATAAGGTTATAAGGAAGAAAATGTGGGAACTGTTGCCGTGATATGGTGTGGATGGTCGATTGTTAATGGCTGTGCAGTTACTTTACTACGACTGTAAAGCCTGTGTGCGGGTAGGGCATGACCTTTCACCCATGTTTAGCGTCCAAGCGGGCGTAAAACAGGGTTGTGTCATGTCTTCCTGGCTGTTCATACTGTATCTCGACAGCTGTTTACAGAAGCTGAAAAATAGCTGTTTGGATGTGATATTGGGTGACATTAAAGTAAATTGTCTGCTGTATGCTGATGATGCAGTGCTTATTGCACCATCAGAAGCAGAAGTGTAGACATTAGTCACGTGTATGAAAGAGGAATGTGAAATTAAAGGTCTCCGTTTTAATGCTAATAAAACTAAGGTTCTGGTATTTGAAAAAGACGAAGAGAGAACGAAATGTGAAATATGAGTAAATCAGGAATGTCTAGAACAGGTAAATGAAATTGTATACTTTGGGAGTGCTTTCAGCCGGGATGGAAGATGTGATTTAGATGTGGATAGGCGTGTTGCTGCCGGAAACAAAGTTAATGGTGCCCTGAATGCATTAGTCAAAAGGCAAGGCGTGGTGAAGAGTGCACGCCATGCAATACATAACGCAGTGTTGGTACCGACTTTGTTATATGGCAGCGAAACGTGGGTATGCCAGAAGAAGCATAAAAGCAAGTTGAATGCAGTGGAGATGCGATCTCTTCGTAAAATGTGTGGCGTTACCATAGCCGATCGAAAGCGAAACGAAGAGATTCGCAATATGGCAGGATTGAAAGATGACCTTATCATAAAAATTGATAGGGGCGTACTCCAATGGTTTGGGCACGTTGAGCGAATGAGTGAAGTCCGAATGGTGAAGAAAATATATAGAGCGAAAGTAAATATTAAAAGGTGTCGAGGTAGACCGAGACTAACTTTCGAAGACCATGTGAGCAAATTGCTCGAAGAGGGGAAGGTCAAGAGTACTCGGTATACCTAGACGTGCATGTATGAAGAAGTTAATGAACCTGAAAGAAGCGAAAGATGTATGTAAGGATCGTGACACTTGGCGATCTGTTCTCTCTGGCTACCCTGTTAGGGATTGTGCGTGAAGATAAGAACAAAAGGTTAAGAACATTAAATTGTTTCTTTTCCACTTATATCAGTAAATTCCTAATTCATTAACCTCTTCCCACTTCGGAAAGGCTTACAATATTTATCTAAAAACACCCATTACAAGGGCTTCGCTCTCCCACATTTTTTTTAAATTTGGGAGAGGTACTCGGTTCCACACACGCCATGTGCGGTGAGCGCCATCCAACCAACGCTCCCCTCTAAGTCCAAAGCAAAATAACTGACGAACGAGTAAAAAAGTGCTTGGCCCCTTGATAGTGCGTAGGTATGTATAAACATCGATCGAAGTCGAGCAAATCCATACACAATACGATCAATTCTAGCCACAGTGAATGTTTGCCACACGGTTTAGGCTGCACGTCGAATATATGGTACACTGGCCATAAAAAGTCCTGCGCAAGCCAGACCTGCCAAACCGCCACTTCTGCAGACCTGATTTAAGTGTAAGGCATCAACACCAATTGCATGATTAGCACGTCTTCTAGCCGCAGAGCGTGACATCACTCTACCGCTCACCTCAAGGGAATGGGGTTCCATGTATAACGGCTTTAGGCCACAGCTTTGAGAGTCTCCTTACTCCAGATGCCACTTGATGAATTGGACACATATTATGCTCCACCAACTAACACAAATCGGTAGATATAGCTAATAGACTAGTTATAAGATAATAATAAAAATTCGCCATCAGAAAGCTTCGGTTCCGTTGCCCTACTCCAAATTTCCCCAACTTCAGCTCATTGTTTTCTCTTGTGCCTAGTTTTGCGTTGAAGTCTCCCATCAACACCGTGTAGTGGGTTTTGGAAGAATTCATGGCTCTGGAAATATCCTCATACATTTCCTCCACCTCCTCATCGGGATGTGCCGAGGTTGTTGCGTAAACCTGTATGACCTTCTGTGAATACCGTTTGGAGATTCTGAGTATCAGGTACGCGACCCTCGTCGATGCACTCTCAATCTTTACAACGTTGTTGACGAGAGACTTGTGGACGATAAATCCGACACCTCCTTGGGACAGGTGGTCGCCCTCCCGGTGATAGAACAAGTTGCCAGACTCGAGGATTACCGTGTCCTCCCCCTCTCTTCGGACCTCGGATAATCTAATAATATGCCAGTGCAACTTATCTACCGCTTTTTCCAGCTCCAGTATCTTCTCGTCAGTCCTCATGGTGCGTGCGTTAAATGTTGCCAGGTCGAGTCGTCGTAGGTGGCAACCGAACCTCCACCGGAGATTCTTAGCACCCACTGCCCCGCCGTTACCGTGGTCGCCACCGTAGCCAGGAATAGCGGGGCCGCCTGAAACTGGGTGCCGTCTATTTGTGTGATTGTTCATGGGGGGTATATTGCCATAGTTGCCACGCTTGGCGAGCGGGTTGGCAACCGCAGTTTTTTTGTCGTACAGTTACTGTTATCAGGAAGATCCTGCTGCCCATCTCCTGCCTGTTTCCCTCTGTCGCCTACGTCTACGACACACACGGGAAGATATCGGGTAGCGGATATTATTAACTGCCACTACACGGCAAGCTCGTGGAAACTGTCCATGCGGTCGGAGCTAAGTTCTGCAAGACCCGCCGCAGAAGAACACAAACAGATGTCTAAATACATGCGGTGAGACTTAGGCAACTTTAATGTTCGTATCAAAGAATTAAAGAAGCGATCGAGCGGAGCCAGGGCTCCAAAGTCTTCGTCAGAGATCTGTTTGTCAGTAAGAGCCAACTGTCAAAGCTGAAGACTGAGTGTGGCTTAAAGTCCTTTAGAAGCTCTTCAATTGCGTCCTCCATGGTGGCACTACTCCAGAGGCGTGGAGCAGAAGTACGGTAGTCTTGTTCTTTAAGAAAGGCGACAACGCTCTCTTGAAGAACTACAGACCGATTTTCCTTCTACGTGCTGTTTTCGAGAGTCATTACGAATCATCTCGCACGCAGACTCGACGACTTCCAGCCTACCGAACGAGCCGGTTTCCGAAAAGGCTTCAATACCATAGACCACATACATACCCTGCGGCAGATTGTACAGAAGACCGAAGAATACAATCTGCCACTTTGCCTGACGTATGTGGCCTATGAGGAAGCCTTTGATTCTGTCGAAATTTGGGCGGTGCTACAGTCCGTTCAGAAGTGCCAAGTTGACTGTCGGTATATCGGAGTGCTGAAGTGTTTGTATAGTAGGGCTACGATGGCTATCTGAGTACAGAACCAGAGCTCGAAACCTATCTAACTGCAGAGAGGTGTAAGACAGGGTGACGTTATATCCCCGAAACTCTTCACCGCTGCATTGGAAGACCTTTTCAAACTGGTGGACTGGAAAGGATACGTTATTAACATCAATGGCGAGTACATCACTCACCTTCAATTAGCCGTTGATATAGTCTTTATGGCAGAATCGCTGGAGGACTTAAGCACTATGTTCAATGACATCAATAGTGCCTCCCAACGGATAGATCTTAAGATGAACATGGACAAAACAAATATCATGTTTAATGTCCATGTCACACCTATGCCGGTAGTTGTTGGTTGCTCGAAGTTGTTGACGAGTAGGTTTACCTGGGATAAATAGTCCGACTAGGTAAGTCCAACTTCGACCGAGAGGTCAATCGACGGATTCAACTCGGCTGGGCAGCATTCGGGAAATTACGACATATCTTCTCGTCATGTATACCTCAATCTCTAAAAACTAGATTGTACAACTATTGCGTGTTGCCAGTGATGACTTACGGATCTGAGACCTTGTTCTTCACTACTGGCCGTATGAGAACGCTCAAGGTCGCTCAGCGAACTATGGAGAGGGCTATGCTCGGAGTTTCTCTGCGTGATAGACTCAGAAATGAGGATATCCGCAGTAAAACCAGAGTGACCGACATAGCCCAACGGATTAGTAAGCTGAAGTGGCAATGGGCCGGCCATATAGCTCGAAGAACCGATAACCGATGGGGAAGAAAGGTTCTCGAGTGGCAGCCTCATACCGGTAGGCGTAGTGTAGGGCGACCCCCCACTAGATGGAGTGACGACCTGGTAAGATATGCAGGTCGATGGATGCAGGTGACTCAGTACCGTGCTTTGTGGCAATACTTGGGGGAGGCCTATGTTCAGCATTGGACTTGTGAAGGGCTCTAATGATGATGATGATGATGAATTAAAATCTTTACGTAAGGATTTTTCATCTTAATATTTCAAAGTTTCCTTTCAAAATAATGTGATTTTATTTCAAATCAAAAAAGATTACTTGGCCGGTATTAGTGACAATTATTATATAAACATATAAACACTCACGTCTGTCATGCAGAGGGGTAGGCAGAGACTACAGACCTCCATTTAACATGGTCCTGAAATACCTCTCTCGCTTCTACACATCCATATACCTACGCATACATGCTCTTCGGTTAAGGGTACTCTTAATTTAGACCATTTTTAGTATATTGCCAATTTTCTCTACAAACTATATAGGACGTCCCTTCCCGTCTCTTTCATTCACTTCTGCAACATATATTTGCTTTGTAAGTATTTCTTTATTCATTCTTTCTAATGGTATAAATGGTAATGGGTCTAATGGTATAATGGTATAAGTGGGCTTAGACGTGTCTGGGGCGTAGACCCCTAGAACAAACAAATTCTTTAAGCCCACTTTCATTCGTATCCATAGCAGTCTCGGGCTTACACATTCATACTCTTTTACACATTGACCCATTCTTTTTGAAAGGATGATACCGACCTCCTGGCATGCCCACTTGGTCTCATTTACACCGGACCAATACGCGGTATACATGCCACATGTAGTGACATCCTTTCCCTTCCGCTTCGTCTCATTTACACTTAACACATCTATTCCTCTATCATACATCATACCGCATACTTCATGAATCTTATCAATCATTGCTCCACATACATTCAGCGTAGATAGACAGGCCTCAGCAATCCTTTTTCGACCCTCCGGAAGACAAAACGTAACGGGTGGCGAACCTCGTCACCGGTTTTTCCTCCCAAAGATTCTTCGCACCCCTTCCCCATTCAAAGGGAGCCAGGAACTCGGGGCCATTTCCTTTCTTTTATGCACCATGGTGCGAAAACTAGGGGTTGGTATATTTTACGCCGCTACCACACAACGAGGAGCCGAATTTGTTCTTTCGGGTTTGTAGCTCTTTTAGCACCACCCAGGGGAATTGTATAGGGTGGGCCTAGGATTAGGTGGTTGAAACCTACGGATACGAGCGACTTATCTCCCAATTAGTGATAAATATATTCGTCATCGAAAAGTATGTACCAAAAATATTTACTTCAGTTTAGACTTTCATATTTCAAGTAACGTGGTAGAACCATGCTAGAGCTATATTGGTAGTATTAGTATAGTTGTAGCACGAAAGGGTTGGCTCAATCGGGGAAGGACCACGCTCTCACAGAATACCGGTGTAAAATAGCAGCTCAACGCTGCTGTGTTTCGTATGGTAAATAAAGAGAACCAGAGACCTATTATACTGGAAACGAGGCATTTCATCTTAGTCTTCACGGGTGACAACGCATCTACATTTTGATTCGTAATCAAGAATAGATGTAGATGTCTATGGGCCAATGCAACAACATATCATTGGATAGACTGTGTGCTCGTTTGTTACCCTTATCCTATAAAATAAAAATAAAAAGTACTTTTGAAGATCAAATCAAATTCCCGTTCTTAATGTAGTAATTAAAGTAAGAGTAAAATGATTCCTTTTCACAATAATCTAAAAAAATGACAAAGCAAGTGACTATTTCGGTTTCATAATATTATTATACTTGAATTATAATTTAATGTATCGAGCCGCATCATACATCATGATGTCTCGTCGTGTAAGACTCTCTTGAGACAGGTTAGTTTTACCCTACTGATGGCACGTCCTTGCGATAGTAATACAGCTCAGTACGAGAGGAACCGCAGTTTTGGACATTTGGTTCATGCACTAGGCCAAGCGGTAACCTATGTTAAATATGACATTTGTACGTTGAATATCTCAGTCCTCCCCGTGACCATGGGTGCTGTAAAGCGCTCGAAACGTCGGGTATTTATGGATATATATACGCGACAAAATCCGTAAAAACTAGTATTACTGCAATGTGTAGTGTTCGCGTAAACATAAGAAATCATTATGTAAACCAGTACGGACTGGTAATTGCAAATAAAATACGCCGATTAGAAGATCTAAAGACCAAGCGCGCAAGATAACTAACAGCCTTAAATTTCTTGAAAAGATGCCGAGACCATAATCTCATTCCTACCTGTGCCAAATATCCACCTAAAAGGACATTGAATAAAACTAAATTTACGGATTCTATCGCGTTTATTTAACTGATTTTAATTTTCGACGTTTCGGGTGCTCTACAGCAACCATGGTCACGGAGGAACTGATGTTTGACGTCCCAATGTTATTGTTAGCCCGGCTACCTTCAGTTTTTGAATATTAATTTTTGGTCCGATTTACGCAAAACGAACTTACAGTATCTTGAAGTCTTGCAGTGGAATGCTTGGGTTTAGGTTTAATTTTGTTAATTATAGGATCCCATGCAGATAGCAGCACCCAACCATCTTCTCTACTGAAATAAGGATGTTTTTTTTAATTTCAATAGCCTCGTGTATCATCCTTGGTAGGAATCGGTATTATTTTGCGAGGATTTGTGGTTTATCAAATCTGATGTAATGGTGGGGACGATCTTGAACATGTTCACAGACTACAGGCTTCCCGGAGCGTCGGTTCTTCACGTCAGCTATATATTCTTTCACGCGGGATTTTATGGATCTTTTTGTTTAACCTATGTAAGAGAGACCATATTCACAATCTAACTTGTACACTCCTGCATCTTGTAGAGGGATATTACACTTGACGGATGGTAAAAATTGACTAATCATCTTCGGCGGCTTGTAGTATGTTTTAATGGAGGCTCGCTTCAAGATGTAGCCAACCTTGTCTGTAATTCCTCTGACATAGTTAGCTACCATGGGTAAATCTTTGTTTCAGAGAGCACGAGGGATCTGTGACAGAAAACATCTGGCCGCCGAGCTGCAGTATATCAAGCAAGTATTGCAAGATATCAAGCTTCGGATCCCGCGCCTACGTCACAGTGACCGAGTGAAGCCGGCCACAGTCGAGCGTGTGCCTGCTGTACTACCATATGTCAGAGGAGTCACAGACAAGGTTGGCTA